GGTTAAGCATATAGCTTGGCTAAATCACCCAGTTTGGGGAGGGCATGAGTGATTAATCCATTAGCACACAGGAATTCTGGCACAGGCAGGGATCAAATCCAATTCCAGTATTGCTCCACTTGAATTCTGTGACTCTTTCATTGTCTACTGAAATTCCTTGTCTCAGCTTACGCACTTTTATAACAAATGAGAAAATTACTGAAAACCAACTCATACACTATAGAAATTTCCTTCCTCCACTGGGAGAAAGACAAGAAGTAAATTAATGTTAACTTTACAAAGACACTTGGATAATGAGTACAGAGAATTTATATATTACTATGCACACTTGAAAGGAACGATTCAGAGATCACAAAATCACAATTTTCCTTTGAAAGTAAGTATTTCAGAGTATCAGTCTTTACATTAGGATTGCTCATCGTTCCTGTTCTTTGGGATAAGCAGCACTGATAACATGTAAAGTACAAAGTTATTCCTCTTTGTTCTCATCACTAATGTCTTTGATGATGTGCTAGTCATTAGTCATCTTAATAAATACAACCTGCTACTCGCCTGTCTGATCTTCAGCTCACAGCACAGTATATTTAAAATACATGTCTTTCATCCACAGGCCATTCTGTATCTATCTTCCTTTTGTGTTCTGTCAGTTACCTGTCACCTACTGCTTTTCCTTTCACTCTCACCAGTACACCCAGAGCTTTTCAGAAATCTGGTGCTTTGAGTATTTTTGTTCTTGTTTCTTGTCACATCTGCACTACACAGCAGAATGACTCCCCTTCTGCTTTCTTTCTGCCTTCTTCAGAGTAATCCTTACAAACAAGAGTACCTTTCAATCTCCCTTTACCTTCTTCCAAATCAACATGTAAGTATGCATCTTTCTTTAAGCTCACAGTCTTTCCCTTCATTCATTATTTATGCACAGCTATGTAGCAGTTAACAATGTCAAACTCTGGTCAACCAAATAACTATACAGTGGGTTTTTTTACACTACTTTAATCACAGGTTACTGTAGCATTTAATTTACTTCTTATTTATTTTTTAAAAATTAAAACACTGGCCCATTAAGTTACCTTCACATAAGAAAAGCAAGCTAAAATTCTGTCTCCTCACAAAACATCTTTCTGGAAGAACTGATGTTCTCCAGCTGAAACACTAAATACTTTGGTCTTCCTGTAAACATACAGCTATGTAGGATACAACATATACAGATAGCTCCATTGCGCCTTACAAGTAAGGGACACTACTGTATCAATAAAAAACTATCAGCTTACTGCCACTATTGCCTTTAAAGAGCTATGAAATCTATTTGTAGTCTAGTTGTGCACTATTTAATTTGCTTAAATTTGTTTCCAATGGATCTGTACATTCTTAGACAAATCAGGCCTCGGTCTTAGTGGTAAAACAGAAAATAACAGTACTAGAGCCAGCTGAGAACATAACTAGGTGCAAGTGTTGGTTCTCTCCCATTCCTTTGGAGCAAAGCCAAAGGATTTAGCCTAGATTAAAAACTTTGTGATAAAAAATAGTCAAAAACGTAGTTTTGAGCTAAACTGATTGTCTCTGCAGTTGGCGCTGACAAACACCACTCATGATTTAAAATACTTTGACTACGCAACAACCTAAAGGAGAGATGCTTCAATAGCAAGAAACATTCTTACTACTGAAAAGCAGTGTAAGAAGCTGTTGCCAGCCACTTCTCAATGTGTTTGTTGCTGCCTCAGTCCTTCTTTTTACCTGATACTCTCATTCAATTCTCAGCGCATATGGGACCGCAGGAAAGACAGTTCATATGATTCTCAGGGTTTTAAAGCAAGAGCTAATTTTTTTTTCAAATTACTTGAAGAAATGAGCACAAAGCTGAGCTTTGACTTGAGTCAAATGGCCAGAATTAAATTTCCTCAGTCTCAAGGGTAGAAAAAAACACAATAACCTGAACTTTTCCTATTAAGACTTGTGGGGGGTTGGTACGAAATCTACCTTCAAAAGCTCTGGTTGATTTCAGTGTTTTCTCTTGGCAATAAAGTACCAATTCTAAAACCGCGTGTTGTGGAACATATGCCAAAAAGCCTGAGAAAGCGATGGTCTACTGTTTCCGTTATTATCCTTCTGTAGTAATTTTTTCAAACATGGAGGAAGACAGTGTGCATTGTGATTTAGAGTGATTTATAAGTTTTTTGAGTTCGTAGAACAGGAATTTTTATTACATTCACTCTGGAGGGAAAAGTCTTTTGATAGCGCTGTAATTTGAGGAATCTACCTGCCTCATTTGAATTAGATCTCTTGAGTTCTTTATCAGTGCCTTGTTTTCCTACCACCTACTGAGTAACAGGGCAGCAATGGCCTGCATGATATGCTGCAACCTTGTTCTCATCCTCCTCTAGTGAGAGGGCAGGTTTGTCCCTTAATGAGTCATTTGTGCTGTGGTTAAATCAGAGTGGGGGTCTCCTGGGCTTGCTAAAAACAATACATTCCTCAATTTGTTTGCCTTGAAACTGTTCTTCATTATCAGTATAGATCTTCCTTTCAGCTCTCTTGCAGCTGTTGCTTCCTCACCCATCAACATTTCCATTCACACTTCATTGATATCAATTTTCTTGCTTCTGTCACAAGGCTCTAAAAGAGGCTAAGGAGAACCTTAGACATAAAGAGGAAGACTCAGGCAGAAGAGGGGAAGAAGCTGACAGGAGTTTCTTACTGAGGTGACCTGGGTTAGCTAAAAATCCCACCAAAGTTACAAAAAGCAAGTTTTGCAGGAAAAATGCCATGGTTCAAAATAAGTTATAAATTTTGTAAGGAGGACTCTGGACAAATCTAAGCCATTTGATTAAAGCATGAAATGTTTAAACCGTAACTGTCATATGTATTTCCATTATTTAACCATTTTATATTGCCATATGCAAACTGCTTCTGCCCTAGAAAGAAAAGCAGTGTAGTATAGCACGGTTTACAGGCTGAAAGAGTGACTGATATTCAGAGCTGGAGAGAAGAGAAAAGAGGGAAAAAAAAGGGGGGAAAAAAAAAAAAGAGAAGCAGCTGTAGACTGGCAGCAAAGGAAAATGTCAGGGGGTTTAGCAGAACAGGAGACAGGGCCAATGAGCTATACGCAGGCTGGATGAATGGGATATCAGGTAAGTGTTTTAGAGAAGCAAAGGTCTGTTAGGGCTGTTACACTCTAAGCGTGGAAGCATTAGCAGTAGCCGGAAGACTGGCAGAGCAGAAAAATGTGAGATGTTGTCTGCATGCTGTAACGGAGGAGTCTAGGAAGAACTGAGTGGCGAGATGCTTTTATTGTTCAGGCTTACTACTCAGTTCAGGATTTCTACTAACATTTGTGCTAGACAGTCTCAAGAACGTGGTTAGGATATCCTTTCAGATATGGGATTCCCTCCACACTATTCATAAAATTCAAGTTGAGTCTGGAAGAAGTATCCTTCAGTATATAAATGTCTTGTTTGTCCAGAAAAGAAAAACATCCCTTGGTGACTCCGAAGTACATGAATGAAACAACAGGCAGGCTTGGTACCTGAAGAAGACAATGGAAACAAGGGCTACACTGTCAGCTTTCAGATCTTGCAATTAAGGTGTACCATTCTGGGGAAGAAAAAGATTTTAATATGAAGTGCCAACTGGATGGATGAGAAGTACATTCTTGCAGACACTGCAGTAACACTCTGGAGCACTAGTCAAGATAATATTCTGGAGCAACTGCCCACTACATGAGGCAAACAATGGGATGGGGTGTGGAACACGGTAGGAGGCTAGATTATTCTGGTGTGATATTGGCAACAGGCAGACAGAGGAGTTCACACTATAAACCACCAGTATGTATGGTCTTATGACTTTAGCAAATTCCTAATTGTTCAAAAGCACATTCATATCCTGTGAAAAAATGCTTTTACTATAGCCTACAGTTTTAAAATAAGTACCTTCTCATTTTTTGTCATGATGCAATGGAGTCATGAATTCAAATTGCTTGTGGCCAACACGAGGGCAGAAAACACTTCATCCACAAAATGACCTCAGCTTCTCCACGCAACTCCAGACTCAGCTGCGCTAAAACACACGAACATCATGTTACACCTCTCACCAAGGGCAACGGCAGCGGATGCCTTCGGGTGGCAGAGAGCCACCGGTGTGTGGAAGGGCTTGGGCTGACGGACCTCAGCAGCATCAGCCCCATGCCCCGGTGTGACCGCTTCTTGCCAGGGGCACTCCTCCTGCACGGAGAGGACATGCACACAGGACGCTGGCCCGCAGCCTTGGCCCAGCCGCCAGCTTCCAGGCATACCGAACGGCTCCTGA